CGTGTATTACAGTCAAGGTATTAGACACACTTCATAATAGCTTAACATTGTGAAGATGTGATATTAGAATGGTGTATATTACAGTCAAGGTATTAGACACACTTCATAATAGCTTAACATTGTGAAGATGTGATATGAGAATGGCGTGTATTACAGTCAAGGTATTAGACACACTTCATAATAGCTTGACATTGTGAAGACGGATAGACGTAGGGAATGAAAAAAAGGGGTCACTTACTTTTTCAGCAACATAGACATTAACTTTACCAGTTTGAACAACGTAGATACTGTCATCCTGGTCTCCAACTTTAAATAAATGATTCCCCGCCTTCACACTTATAGACTCCATATATTTACATAGCTCGATAAAAAATGGCCGCTCAAGATGTCCAAAAACCCTGAAAGTAATGACACATGAATTCAGTCACTTTTCCTCATTATTCCAGTCAACCCAGCTGTAAATAGATACAGATAATGCCGGAAAGATCACCGCTAAGAGGTTTGATCAAGGATCAGCTAGTAGAAAGGATCCTTGTTATCCTTGTAAAATCATTACCAAGAGGTTTGACCAAGGATCAGCTGGTAGAAAGGATCCATACGAACCTAAGTTGTCATCCTTGTTTCCTCCTGGTAGGAGAGGAGTGAGAATTTTAAGATGAGGTTTTAGGGGAAGAATTGGGGCGATAGGGATAGAGTACTTACCTGACACCACGTAACATATAAATAACTTCTTGAGGCAGTCTGGAATCTGTCTCCTCCTCATCGTTTTCAGCCTCTAGTAATGACTGGGGTGGTCCTTTAGATGTTAGAGATGTGAAGGCTGGGTCTTTATTACGCTGTAAAAACCTGTAAAATAAACCATACATATTTCATATCTATCCACATTTATAATAGCCTTAGGGGTTAGGAGGGGGTGAAGGGCTAAAATAAATTGGGGCGGCTAACTACTTTATAAAAGCCTTTGGGGTTAAAGGGGTGAAGGAAATAAATAGGGGTGGGTTTATGAAAGCCATAAGTGTAAAGAAAAGTAGGGGAGAGTGGGTCCTTTGTGATAATCATATCATTCAATACTTAGTTTTAATGAAATTGAGAACCACAGACATCATAATGAAAACTGGGGTGCAAATTGATGCTATCAGTATCCCAAATACATAAAAAATTTTTAAAACCCCTTTAGAAAACTCCTTAATAGTGTGAACTCGATTTTGGCACCCTAAAAATATTCCCAATAAGCCACATTTCAACATTATAAAATTGTTAAAATGGTAATGAAGCAACAAAAAAATTTGATAGAAATAAATGGATAAAACTCTGTTTACCAGAACATTGGCTTTCCATGTTTTTATATTCAAATATGTACTTACTTTTTCAATCTATGAGCTAGAAGCCTATGACTTGATTTCTTTTTACTCAGGCCAGTTCCAATACTGGACATCTGAAATACAAAGAAGTCTTCAGAAAAAAGACAAAAAAAAGTTGCTTTTAAAAGAGACCTGTTCACTCTCTGTTTGTCCAATCGTACCTTAGCCTATGAAACTGGAATTCTTAAACTGACAGGTTCGTCATCCATTTGACCAATCATACTTTAGTCTCAGAAACTAGAATTCTTAAGCGAAGGTAATCAGTAATAATGTTCACACTCCAAAGTCGAAAGTTGTGCAGTCAAATCTATGAGTCGAGAATTATCTGTGTTCATGATGTTCATCTTTTCTTGATACATATACAAAACATGTATAAGATTAGAAAGTGAAATTCCTAGCTTAAGATATTTTAAAGGAATTATGTGATTTTCGTACATTTCTAGTATTTCTGAAGTCTACATATATTGAACTCTCAAATCAACCCTGGAATTATAATTTTACCTTTCTCATAATCTTTCGGCCATAAAATAATACTTTGTCTCGTTTGCGAAACCTGTATTTTTTGACAGGGGAATGGCTCTCTTGAACTGGAAATAGAAAAAAAAATTAATCAGAAACTTTCACAATGTCGGGCTATTACAGAATACAGCCATTTGATTGGATTATGTTAGAGAATACAGCCAATCAGAAGCACCAACGCTGATAACAATTATCACTTCAGTCAATTCAGAAATTCTATGGGTAGCCTGGCAGACGCTTCTACAGCATAAAGCTTAAAATCCTGAGACATCCGACCTTGTAATAGAAAAAACTATTGCTGGGTATCAATCAAGTATCGATACATGACGTTGCGATCCGATACGCGTATCATGGAATGTCATATCACGACATTGTGTATCGATACTTGATTGGCGATATCCAGCACTAGAAGAAACCCAAATAAGTCATAAAATAAAATCTGAGATTAACTTATCCTAATTTAATAAACTTAATCCCCCCCTCCCTCAAAACAAATAATTATAAGTCAAAATCATCAGAAATTCCAAAGAAAATAGTAGCTGTACGCCTACCTTTGTGTTTGAATTTCCATACTCCAAAAAATGTTAGAGTCAATAATGTGATGACACCAATAACAAGTGTGACTATAAATCTCTGGAATAAAAGAGAATTCGAAACTTTTGGATGGCTGAAAGATGGATCCATGACAGTTTGGTTACTTTTCTTCAACCCTGTCTCAGCAGAAGTTTTAACCAGTCTAGCCAATATTTCTGCTACTACATTTTTTTTTATTTGCATTTTATTATTCCATTATCTAAGAATGTTGCATTTGCTGACAAGCACGTAAAAAATGTCCACTGCATATTCACTTGTACTTCAACAGCAATCAAGGTTCTGCACTAAGTCTACAGACTTGCCACTTTAGGGCTTAAGCCTTTCTCACTATTCTTAGTCTCTGTCCAACACTAAACATACAAATGACTTAATTTCACTACCTTAGTGATGTATTTATTCTAGAAAAATCGATCGTAATTGATTGATAATAATCGCGGTCATGATCTTTTGACATTGCCTTTTTACACTGCGCAGAAACAAACAAAAACTTTTTGTCCATGACATTTGAATTTCTTGCGTTTTTCGACACAATTTGAGCCAAGATGCTCCAAAATGAAAAGTGCATACCGTAGACCAGTCAATTTGGGTCAAGGCTACCAAAAACCCGTCGACTGGTGTCGTGTTTCTGGTTAAAAAATCAGGAAATGCCATATTTTTCTTCAGTTGTTTACATTTTAATTTTTGTCGTCGCCATTTTCTACACCAGATGTGCCTTCTCTGCAGAAGTATAGCTTTACAAGGGACGTAATTCTGAATATAACTAAGACTACAACAATTTGCTTTTCCTAATGTTCGGCGATATTCCTGTTTAAATTGAGATTAAATGTTGTTAATTTGACTTGTTCTTTGTGAATTCATAGGTCTCTGCCCTAAAGGAAACATTCTTAAGTTTGATGTACTTGGAAAGTTAAAAGCCGCCTTTGAACTTGTCCGTTCGAGAAATAGCCCAAGGGTATAGTCACCTCTGACATGATTAGGGCCTAACCCAGAAAAATAGATTAACCAAATTTCAATAAAGATTGTGACATTGGCTATAATTACTATATTACTAGCATGTTCCACTCGTAATCCCTGCCCTTAATGAATAGGCCTACAGTTCTATTACGTGCCTTCGGGCTTTTTTATGTTTAAAGGTGCCGTTCTACAAAATAATTGATTCCAACCATGGTCGCCACAAGCGGTAAAGAGCTGGAATGACGTCTACTTGGCTATAAGGTGTCGAAGGTTCGAACCCCCATTAAAGTGAGACCTTGGGATATAAAACTCCATTTCATTTCATTAGTCCAATAAGATAGAGAACAGTAGGATATAAAACTCTATTTCATTTCATTAGTCCAATAAGATACAGAACAGTAGGATATAAAACTCTATTTCATTTCATTAGTCCAAAAGGATACAGAACAGTAAGATTTAAAATCATTAATGTTTGACAGGGCTACTTTAAATTCTAACAGTGATATAAAGAACGACTTAGATTACAAGTTAATCAATAGATCGAACTAGTTTTAGCCAATAAAATCAATCAGTGTATAGGAAGACAGGGTTGTTGTATTGATGTCACTGACGACCCTTATCACACAATGGACGAGCTATTGCCGTCTTATCATAGTGAGTTATACCCCTATTCAACTTTCTACATTCCCTTATACAATTCTAATTCATTGGTAAATAGTCTTAAAGCGGTTAGATCTGTAAAACTGTTTGTGTTTTGATTCCACGATTTGATTCGTTTGAATTTTATTTACACTCTAAAACACTCTCAAGAAAGGGGGGCAACATACTTAGAACTATCATAACAAAATACCAGTAATTCAGTGGGAACAATAGGTTTGCTGACGTCACAAATCCAAAGAAAAGGCTCGAGTACCACAAAATCATTCCACTTTCAAAAATAATACTAATAGCTTAACTACCCCAATGTCTATGTATGACGTCATAGTACCAATTCAAAACATACGGGAAAGAATAATATAGATCAAAGTTGACTAATCCTTTAAAAACGTTTACAGATCTAACCCCTTTAATATGATAATAGACCAATAATTCATTACAACGAAAAGAAAAACAGGGATTTATTTTTCGCCATTTGCTTGAAGTTTAAAAATCTTCAAAGGCTAAAACTTGGGGCTTTTTCTGGTAAGATTTTTTAACATATATTTTTTAAACCTCTGCAAGGATAATTGAAAACAAAATTGTTTTTGAAAGGGGATTTATTCGGTTGTGAAAAGGTCGCTGTAATTTGTTTTCCTTAGTGATATGAATATATAGATGTTTTTGTTCGTAAATTGTCACAAATAGGCCAGTATTTATTGAATTATTTGTAATGTTATGATCCTCTGCAACGTCTAGGTTGGCTATAACTTCTATTTTTTGACTGATTTTTTTTTATCCTCTGCAAGTGATGGCTTACTGCTATCATTACTAAAACTCTTTACACCCTTTAGGTTGGCTTACTGTTATCTTTACTATCATCCTTTACTAGGTTGACTAAGGCCTTCTCGGCTATCATAACTTTAAAACCCTTATTATCCTCTATGATGGCTTACATCTTTACTATAGTCCTTTAAAACCCTCTAATATTGGTCTGACCTATTCAACACTTTACACCCTCCCTGGAGGATGGCTTACGTAATCATGAAATTACTGGATTTGACTTCGATTAGAATTGATTAGATTATAGCTTACGTGATCATGCAATCGATTAGAAGATTTTATTATCTTACAATCGATATTGTATTTCTTTCAGAAAATGGCTCATTATTACACACCAAACGAGGTAAGACGATTTCTCTTTCCTTAGTAAAACTACAACAGTTATACATAATATCTACAGTATACAAAACGTCATGTCAAACTAGCAAAGAAAGAATTAAAACTATTTCTTTTCCAAGGACAGCAATTTAGGTTCACGAGGGTCCTGTCTACCAGCTTGTCCGTGGCTAAATCTCTTGGTAATAATTTTACAAGGATAACAACTAAGGTTCATGAGAATCCTGTCTACCAGGTGATCCTTGGTTAAACCTCTTAGTAGCCTATTTATCTTTCAAGGATAACAACTTGGATTCACGAGGTCCTTGGTCAACCCTTTTGGTAATGATCTTACAAGGATAACAACCTAGATTCACGAGGATCCTGTCTACCAGTTGATCCTTGGTTAAACCTCTTAGTAGCCTATTTATCTTTCAAGGATAACAACTTGGATTCACGAGGTCCTTGGTCAACCCTTTTGGTAATGATCTTACAAGGATAACAACCTAGATTCACGAGGATCCTGTCTACCAGTTGATCCTTGGCCAAACCTTCTTGGCATTGATACTACTCAGATAATCCGTACCCATTTACAGCTGGGTCGACTAGTATAATGAGGAAAGATGACGATCGAGATTAGAACCCACGACAACAATGTTTCACCGTAACCAAGCATAAATATGACTTCATATACAGATTCTAAATCCCCTACTGTCTGTGCTACATCCTGTCCTCAAAGCATGCAGTTTGTGCTGGTGGATTGTACAAGGGCAGATTTCAGAATCTGCTCATAGTGATTCTTCTTTTAATGTTTATAAATTTTTATACGTACAGGAACATGGCGCCTATTTATTTGCGAGGTTTCCCTCTAGAGGCGGAACTGACGTAGCTGTGGTCTCGCAATCCTGTGTGCTCAATAAGAAATCTGCTGAAATTCAACGAGGACGCTTCCTGGGAATTGCCAGAAAGGTAGGAATTTGTACTTGTTTTTACTATCGCCTTTTCAGTGAGTTTCTCTTATGTCGAAAGCCCTATATTGAGAACTAAACACTTATTTCACTTATTAGTTGTCCTGATGAGGATTGTATATCTGAAACACGTGTCAACAGCATGAAATGAGCTCAAGTCAACTAGCTTACATTAAGTCTATATTAAAAAGTTAACCTCCATTTCTAAAACTGGTCCTGATGAGGCTTGAATATCCAAAACGTTTGGTATTTGACCGAAATTGTCTCCCTTATTTCAGATATATGGGAAGTATACCCATGGCGATCACGCCACCCCGAGATATGCCAAAGTGAACCAATATGAACCGGAAATGGCGTTGATTGTCTACCTATTCGAGAACCAGAAATACGCTAGGCTGTTCTTCAATAGTGATAAACGCTTTAAACAGCCCGATTTTCCCCCACCCTCGGGAATGTGTGAGGCTTGGTCGGTTTGTCGTTACTACACACCTGATTATAGGGACGGCAAGTATCGTTTTTTAAAAGTTTAAAAATGGGTGGGGAAGGGGTGACTGGAGGGAAAAATGCAATGTAAGAAGGAGAGGGGTGGGAGAGTGGGGGTCAACTCACCAGGTATAAGGAAAGTGTGAGGTGGGGGGGTGGGGGGGTCACCGCCTGGAATATAGCTTGAACGTTAGTGACATGATTGTGAATCTTGTATTAAAAGTTGCTAAGGAAGGAGTTTGCCATGTTGATCTGTCAAAAATACAGGTGTGGCGGAGAAGGGGGGGGGGGGGGTGCAAAAGGGTGGCCCCAGGTAAAATAAAGATACATAAACTAATAATATTACCAGATCTTATCCCTCCTACCATTCCTCTTCTTGATTTCCTGTCACATATCTTATCACACATGCAAACTTGGTAGACCTTCCATCACAAAATCTCTACCGTCTCTGACTACTCGTCGATATCCCGACCGAGCAATACAGAGCGTGATATCAGTTCACCACCCTAGGGTTGTTGGGATACAAGGGGTGGAGTTTATTAGGGACAGTTGCTATTGTTCGTGAGTTGTACTCTTCTTAATCCAACTAACTAAGCTTCAATCTGACTCTATTTAAAGGGATTGTAAAGAGGCTTTCTAAATTTTTGCATGTGTATCGCGGACACTGATAGCATCACATCGCACCATTTAAATTTTCAGGTAGACATTTGTGGTTCCTGCTATCAGTGTCCTCGAAATACATAAAAAGTTAAGAAAACCTCTTTATAATTCCTTTATTAAGTTCCACTATTTGCTTCAATTAACCTTTGCCGTGCTGAAAAACGATTGTTTATTTCACAAAATAATGCAAATAGTATGATTCATTTTTTCAGTGCAATACGGTACAGGTTATCACAGGGGCTTGGGGGTTAATCAGATGAGCTGTTCTCTCTGCAGTACTTTACAGGAATATGTGAAAAACATAAAATTTACACAACTAAGAAATTTATTACCAAATTATATAAAATATAAATAAGAATACTTCAATATAAAATATAAACAAGAAAAGGGGCTTTAAACTATCACTGCCATCTGGACGAGGAACTCTGGATGACACAGCAGTTGAAACTTTTCGCTTCAGGTCCTGTGGACTGGAATCTCCAATCGACAAAGCAGTTTCTTTAGCAGTTGGCTTCTTTCCACCACCATTGATTCTCATTGCAAGTTGTTCATCAGTCATACGAGACAGTTCCACCAACACAGCGTCTATTGCGTTTCCAGATGACCAAGTTCTTTCATACTCAGGCACATTATACTCTGCATTTTTAGCTTCTTCCAGAAATTCTTGAGCAGCGAAAGAGGGTCGGGGCTTTAAACTATTACTGACATCAAGTTCAACAACAGTTGAAACTTTTCGCTTCAGGTCCTGTGGACTGGAATCTCCAATCGACAAAGCGGTTTCTTTAGCAGTTGGCTTCTTTCCACCACCATTGATTCTCATTGCAAGTTGTTCATCAGTCATACGAGACAGTTCCACCAACACAGCGTCTATGGCGTTTCCAGATGACCAAGTTCTTTCATACTCAGGCATATTATACTCTGCATTTTTAGCTTCTTCCAGAAATTCGTCAGCAGCGAAAGATGGCCGGTGCTTTAAACTAGCACTGCCATCTGGACGAGGAACTCTAGATTTCTTTGCACCACCATTGATCATCATTGCAAGTTGTTCTTCAGTCATACGAGACAGTCCCACCAATACAGCGTCTATGTTCTTTGTTGACACCCAGACGCTTTCAAAGAAATTGTCACCTTCACTTTTACCTTGATGAGGCAAGTCACGACAGCCGTCTGCGACAAAAAATGGTAGCTGACGTAAGCTAGCATTGGCAAGATCTCTTAGGCTTGAAACTCGAGATTCGGGGAGTAATTTCTGCACCTCACTGATGTCTGATTTCGAAACCTCCTCTGTTATAGATTGTTCACTGTCATCTGACTGTGAGGAGATACCAAGATCCGATTCAGCCGCAAGACGTGGTGATGCTTGACAGTTATTATTAGCTTCTTCTCCCCCGTCTGCGTCTCCGTGTTCGACTCCGATCAGAGCCTGGAGGTCTAGAGTAAATTTTGTCCTTGGTAAAGTTTTTCTAGGTTTATTGCTGTTGTCTGAAAAAGTAAAACACCGATTAAAGCATTTTGTTCAACCAATTATTTATTTAGGTATATTTTACGATTCAACCTTCACGTTTTTTATTTGCCCACCCCCCTTGCCAAACCTCTTAGCATAGCCTTTCCCGGATTAATGTGGTAATTTGGTATAACAAGGGAAGAGGGGTAATCATAAATATCAAAAGAAACCTCACCATCATTAGGCCTACAAAGTAAAGCCATCACATCTTTAAATGTAGGATTTTGAGCAAGAGTCAGTTCTAGGTTTTTAGAAACCGCATCATCCAACTCGCCTTTGGTTAAAAATAACTTGAAGGCTGCTCTGGATAAGTTTGGAGGTGAAGAGATGGGAGATAACTCTCCAACTGTGGGTTGGTTGTCTGAAATAGAACAGTTGGAAAATTGCGCAAAAAGTATTAAAATTACAAGGGTGATAAAGCGAAATTTTCAAGGCAAAACTATTATTCAAATCACAAGGAGGAAACATATTGATAAAATGGAAAAAAATTAAAGAGAGAAAATGTCCAAAACTCACCGAAACATTCGACTATCTTAATAATAGGTATTATTATTCCTTCTTGTAGATATCTTCCACCCCAGGGGACATACACACTTTTAGAATTCAACCCCTCCTCTATCTTTATCACCCGGTTTTCACCGTCTTGCCATCTTTTGATCTGACCACTCTCCCTGTCCAAAATCACCAGCTTAAACTCTTCAGTCGTCTCGTGCTTCATTTCAAATTTCGTACTCCAAACATCGTTCATACTGAAGCATTTAGAAGTACCAGAACTTTCCCAGTTGCCCAGAAAATCTCCCGAACCAACAACAGCGAGTGATTCATTGTAACTCAAGTGGTAATGAGTCGCTACAGAAACTTTACATCCACCATCCATGATGAATTCTCCCGATCCTACTCCGTATTTGGTCTTCATGAGGCCACCAAAAACACCAATATCAGCTTGACGGTACTGATCTTCTTCAACTACTTCTCGTTTTTTCATCAGGACCCAGTTGAAATAGAAAAAGGACCTCTGAGGTATATGTACCTTCACTTTCCATATTGGTGAGTCCTTGGCAATCCTTCTGGCGTCCACGCCGTATGGAGTGTCCCAAAATCCCAGCTCACTTATGGAACCCATTAAACGAGGAACCACCCCTTTACGTCCTGGATCCAACTCCACCTCAAAAACAACAGGAACCGTAAAATTCTTCATCTTCTCACGAAAATAATCCAAAATATTCCGAAAATCTTCAAGATAACTTGAAAAACGCAGCTTCTCTGGTGAAAACAGTTAAGCTACTGATTATGACGTCATAATGCCTTGAAGAATAAAGAAATAACTTCGCGTCGTTTGTTCTCGTTAACGACGCTGTAAAAGCCCCCATCCCCTCTTTTTTTATCTTTTTAAAAGATTATAATCATAACAATACGAAGATTGGAATATTTTGCGCTTTGCGTAATATTTTCACAAATCCTGAAATCAATTCATTTCAAATAAATCTACGACGAAACCCTAGCCTAAAACATTTGACTAAATTAATTTACTTTGCTCAAAGACTTGATAAATACGGTTCGTTAACTGGTTTAATTAATTTTTCAGATAATCGAACGTTCATGATGTCTGAAGTACAACTACAAGAAGGTGTCCGCCAAGAGGAGTATCGTGAAAGATACTGTACACCGTTCGCTCAGTTGCTTCTCGACTACGACGCCCATCCGTATGTCGTACAAGCCAACACCGTAGAGGATTTGAGACGGTACTATCTAGGGGCAGACACCATCCTTACCGTCCATGTTTTCCCCACCCCTGAGGAACTGTGGAAGTGTATTGAAGACGGTAAGTGTTCTTTAAACGTCTAATTTGGATAACAATACGCACTTTACATAAGACGCACTATCACTTACAACGTTGTCCCTATTAATATATGATTATACAGGGATTCTGTTGTGTAGCTCAATGTTTAAACGTGATTTTTTTATATTTCAGATCGTTACATACCACTTAAAGCCGTCCATGCAACTATGGCTTCAGAAAACCTCAGCGTTTTTACTATAGACCCTAAACCATGCCGATAAACTGATGGAATATCAATTCCTTATGAACATAGCTAGTGTTTTTGACTCCGCATGGATGACATCTGTCAAAGTTTCAAAGATATTATGTACTATTAGTTGCCAAATTTCAATCAGCAAGCTTTGATCTACGATTCTACACACATTTTTCTTGTTCTTTTTTTTTAATTTTACAAAAAATATTAAAGTGGCTCAGTCGGGACACAATCCTAGAAAAAAATGAAAGAAAAGTCAAAAAATGAAAAAAAAAATGAAGCATTTCCCATTTATCATTAGTCCTTAATCTGACACCATCGAATTAAAAATATTCAGACACAAAACATAAATAGAGCAGCCCAGATGATTTTCAGGTAGATAACCAACTGTATTCCAGGCCCTTCTCACATCATCTAAAATATTACTGTCTACTCTCTTTATGTGCAAAAATGTACTAATCCAATCTAATGTAACTTTCATATCCGAACATGTCTACGTAATAATGTTTCCGATCTTATTTAAATATTACTATTTATCATTATTTTATGTTATTTGTATAGAAAATAAATTATTAACAAAGTTTATATAACTGCATCATTGATTAAAAGAGAACAGATCAGGAATTTTAGATTTCTAAAAAAGAATTCTCGCTACTTTCAATAAAGTCACCATGTTCGAAAATTATTACGTTGATCATTGGCTTCCCTAATCCAACAAATACGATAAAGGTGCCCTTACACCATAGTGATTACCAGTTGTGTTGGTAGCGAATAATAGCAGTCACAGGTTTCGAACGCAACTCTCATGTAACTGAGTTGAGAGTTGTGTTCGGAACTCATGGCCACTTTTATTATCCACTTATGGGCACTTTAGTTTGTCCGAGATGTGTCTTGTTCCCAAAAGACAGTCGGATATTTAAAGCAGTCCATTTAACCATGGCTGGTTGACCACCAGTGTCGGGTCATGTCCCAAGAGAACTGTGAATATCGGTGTTTTTTTAGAGCGATAAGTATTAACCTATAAATAAATAAGCAAGAAAGATCAAATTCCAGTAGGGACGCAGACTGAAATAGGTCAGTTGTCTAAAGATCGCACAGCGAGAAACTCGGCAGCTCTATGTCTGAAAAGGTTAGTCCCCCCCCAAGAACATTTTTAGGAAAATTGAATTGATTTGGTGCATTCTGACACATATTTTTGAGCAAAAACGTATAAAAAATCATATTCTTACATTTGTAAGAGATGACGTCAGGGTTCAAATGGGGTACAAACCATTTTTCCAGGGGATCAAATGTTCCCATTACACCACCATCGGCTCCGCCCCAAAGGATCTAGTTCAATTTTGACCCAAAAAATACCAACGCTCGTAACTATATATTCGTTATGGGTGTGTGCCATACATGTATGTACAGTCTGGCTAAACAAAAAAAAAGAAACTTTTTGACCTTTCTTGATCGGTCACTCTGGTATTTCTCTTGTAATTTAGCTAATCATGAATTATGGACATGTGAGACAAACTAGTATTTTTCCAAGTCATTAGAACACCTCTACTTTCATTCATATAAGTATTAGCATTTTCATTCTCATAAATGAAAATAAGGGAACCCATCTTTAACGCAAAAATACCAACGCTTGAACCGATATTGCTGTGTAAATGTCCCCAAAGGACCACAAACGTAGTTATGACACGAACACTAACGCTCGAACCTGTACCACAACCCCCAAAGGACCTCAAACATTGTTGACAGTAATAAGAGCGAGGAATATTATGACAACCAATACCAAAATCAAGACTATTTATTTCTGCTCCAGTTGTAAAATGACATCTAGTCTAGTAATTAATTCATGTTTCTGCCTTGTTTGATGATGGAAACGGCAAATTTAGTCAACATTCGAAACTTAAAGCTGTAACATCCATACGTTACTGGTCTCGAACAAGCTTTCAACCTAACGGAATGGTTTCAAAGCCGACATCAGGCCGAATGTCGGAAGTATTCGAAGTGATATTTCTTTCTTAAAATGTTTAAATTACACTATGAATGCAAAATCTAAGAAACTTTTTACGACTCGCTTAAAGTTATTTTGGATCTGAAATGTTCCCGAGACATTTTTTTGGTTAAGTGATTGGAACGGTTTCGACAGGTTCTACTGATTGCTAATATATACAGACTTCAAATTATTCAAAATATTCCTGTCTTTTCTGAGGGAGCCAAGATGGGGAACGGTAAGACTTATATTTCTCTTTTAAATCATTTCACAGGTTTTTTGAATTTTGAACTGAACTGTTGAAACCACCGAGAGGACATTTTGCCAGGACAGTGGTATTGATCTACATTTTCGATTTCAAAATGTCGAAATGAAAATGAAGTGAATGGAGTTTTATGTCCTATTTTTCTGAACCTATTTGGACTGATGAAGGTAGACAGGTAACAATAGACAGGGTGCAATGAAGATAATTTTTCTAGAACATAGTATTGGTCTTACATTTTGATTTTAAAATGTATTAGCTAGAATATGTGTTGATTTAAAAACTATTTTTTTCTGAAAACTAGGACCAATTTGTTCCGAATTGTTAGTTCGAAAACACGCAATTTAAAAAAAAAACTCGTACCAAATTGATATGGATAAATCCGATATGGATAAAGGTCGAAAACTCAGACTCCTCGTACCAAAGAAGGAAGGGAAGGGCAAGTAATATATCTGGAGAGGCAATGATGTATGGTGTTTAAATACAGTAATGGAATTGGTCGGTTGACAGAATTTTTTCGGGGGGAAGGGGGAGGGGAGGAATCCGTTTATGTCAATCCATCCACCCCTTACCCCTTGCCCCGCCCCCTCCACCCACTTGCTACGGGTCTAATGCATTAGTCATGTAACAAGTCGATTGTGTAAGTTCCCATCATATGCTGAATATTTTATTAATTTTCGCTTGGTTTATTTTCTAACAAAACACTGAAATATCTTGTAAATCGATGCTGTATAAACATTGCTGTTTTTTCAATACACAAAATGGTTTGCTGAGATCCGATAATTTTCCTATAATTTGTTATTTTATCATTCCATAAGAATGTTCTTTCACAAAGCAGGAATAATCTAGTATCTTGTTCTTTTTGAGAAATTTGAAAGTTTGTAAGTTAAGGCTTACTGTTACGCAGTAGTTGTTTTAATTGTAGGTGAACAGGTCGTAGAAATCTTAGTTTAAAATATGTAATGGGTAGCTGAAATTGAGCTCTATCAGTTGGTATAGTAAATATTTAGATGACTAAAATTAATCCCAAGTTGCAGTGCCCCAAAAATATTGAATATTAATTATTTCTTTTCAGGCTGAAAAATGAGCTCACCAAAACCTACCAGCTCTCTGGACTGGTCCGAGGACATCTTGTTAGATCTCCAGACCCTGTACCTCATGGTGGACAGCGATGATTTCCCCGTCCTAGCCATCAGCCTTTTGTTAAAATATTCCAAGAACTTACTCCCTGAGAAAGTCACAGTAATTAAGAAGATGATCAGAGAATTACACGACATTAAAGGTAATATTCTCGCAAGCACTGGACGAGGAATCAAAATTGCTAACCTTGAGGAGGTTTCCAACCCACGACACCTAATAGTCTAGCAGACGACAGTCCAACTCGCTACCGATCAAGCTATTTCACTGCCACTAAATAAGAAAGTTCACGTGGATCTTTTCTATCAGCTGGTCCTTGACCGAACTTCTTGGCATTAATCTTTCCCGAATTATCCGTACCCATTTACTACTGGATAGATTGGAATTAAGAGTGTCGCATGAGTAATGCTATGTAATTTCTTAATATTATTTTTCAGACAAGATGCCACTTACTCCAAGGGAATCACCAAAACTTGTTCGATTCCGAGAAATCGTCAAAGAGCGTCTGATATTCATGGAGAACAGTTACACGTGTACATAACCCACGACGTTTCGACAGTGTTACGGTGTGGATAGACGAGGTAGAGAGTCTCGACCGGAATTTGTGTCCAGGCGTTTTCTGTTTTTCTATTTTATACTGTATCGCTGATTCAGCCCCTATATGACAGACCGTAATGACCCATCGTATCCCGAATACGGGTTTCGATATGGTCTTATTAACTCTCGATAAAATAGGACGAATCGGGGGTGTGGTTTGGACACGAGACGTGATGATCGTACCTCGCCTATTCTCTTGTTTTATTTTCGTCTGTATCGCTATTCCCAAGCACCAGTAATCAAACCGTATACGGTAACGACAGTTTCCATAATGCTGAACATTTTCAAGGGCGCTAGCTCGCAGATTTTCGCGATGGATTGTTGTTTTAACCGGACACCGGACGTAAAACGTATCTCGTCTATTCGCACCGTAACATTCACCAAGCCAAGCATATGTAGGATAGAGGATATTTTGATTTGAATTATCTTATGAATTAGATCGTACTTGTATATAGTTGAATAGTGAGTAAAGAGACACGATTTTACGATACAATTAATTTAACCTTAAAAGGACATAGTCGTCTGAATAATTATATCTCATGTGTGTTTCACGGATTATTGACGAACCAGACGTCATATTTTCATTATGAAAAGTGTTACGGATTAAGCTCTATCAACTGGTAAGGTACAATTACACAGATAGCTGAAAAAACTAGTAAAATAAATAGATGACTATACATAGAGCTGAAATTGAGCTCTGTCAGCTGATGAATTTAGCATTGACATGGCTGAAACTGGGTTCTATCAGCTGGTAAAGTAAATATTTAGACAACTATATGGACAGCTGTAATTGAGCTGGTAAAGTAAATATTTAGATGACTATACAGACAGCTGAAATTGAGTTCTATCAGCTGGTACAGTAAATATGTAGATGACTATACAGATAGCTGAAATTGAGCTCTATCAGTTGGTAAAGTAAATATTTAGATGACTATACAGATAGCTGAAATTGAGCTCTATCAGCTGGTAAAGTAAATATTTAGATGACTATACAGATAGCTAAAATTGAGCTCTATCAGCTGGTAATGTAAATATTTAGAAGACTATACAGATAACTGAAATTGAGCTCTATCAGCTGGTAAAGTAAATATTTAGACGATTATACATAGACCTCAAATTTAGCTCTGTCAGCTGGTAAAGTAACCATTGAGACCACTATAAAGATAGCTGAAATTAAGAACTATCAACTGAAGAATAATTAAACCTCTGTATTCTTTTAATTTGATAAAATAACGCACAAGTTGAAGAACGTGATAATTTCGAATTTTCGACTTAAATCATGTTTTCGAAGCTAAAATTTTGTTTTATCCAAATATTAGTTAACAATTAAATGACTATGGTCTTTGAATAATCGATTTGTTTTATTGGGGGTTGCATTATGAATTTAGAGTTTTACGTCGATGTTGGGAGTAAAAACCACAATGGAGTTTTGGGGGGGGGGGGGGGGGGGAATTGGAGAAAGGGGATAGGAGTATTTAAGACTTTATCTTGATTTTTGTGCGGCCTGAGAAAAAATAGTCGCTTTCAAAACCTACGGTAATCTAACGAGCAAAAATCTTCACGACGTTTGGAGATCGTAGGTGACAAGGTGAGAATAGGGGAAAAGGGCTAGGAGTAGTTATGGCTTCATCTTGATAGAATAGAAGGCTTCGAATAGGGGAAGATCATTTTGGGTATGAGAACCCAATAAGTTACTCAAATTTTGTTGAACGTTGGTTATATACTTGGAGAAGGGGTTTTTCAAAAGTTCTGCGGTAGTTTTAACCCTATGAAATATTCAATGGTAATGGATAACTACTACCAAGATGACAAGATCAAATGAAAGGAGTTTTACATCCTACTGGTGTGAATCTTATTGACTAATGAAATGAAATAACAAAAGACGGTCATGAAGTCAGTTTATTATTGGGCACCAGCAGCGAGTTTAGCTGTAGCTCCCTTCATGGTGTCGATGGCTTGGGTGCCGTGTTGAGTAAGAGTACCCAATAAGTTACCCAAAGTTTGTTGAACGTTCGTCATCAAGTTTGAGGCGGCGTTTTTCAAGAGTTCTCCTGTTGTACTGACCATCTGAAATATTCAATGGTCGTCGATATTAAAACCAAGTTATATAGTGAAATACGATTAAATACAAGTGAGTGGTTTTGTAAGTGACGCATGAAACTACCTTTTAATTTTTCTGAACAGAACAGCTATTTATTTTGCTAAAAAACTAAACGCTCGTTATTTTATAACAATATGGTAACGTATCCGCTTTAATCCTTTTGACTGGCCAATCAAAGATAGAGATTTTATAAATTTACGATTACGATGTCACTTCCGCAATCCGATTGGTCATATTTGTTGACCAATCAGAATGCTACAATTAAGTTACGATCACTGACCAAAGTTAGTACTTACAATTTGACCCCACCAATTCGTTTAGTTACTTAAATTTGCTAACAAGTTACTGAGCTTCATTCTAGATACGATAACTTGACTCCTTCAGTGCGATTGGTTACGAGTACATATTTTCAAGTTACGAAGACTTTAACTTACATTTTTAACTCCTTCAATGGCTGGTTTAAGAGAATTGGTAAGTTGAGAGATGATTCCGTTTAAACCATCCATAACGTTTCTCTTGTGGTTTAACAGAGAGGAGGCGAGCTCGGTGATTTTAGAGACGACGGCTTTCATGATGGAATCGGCGAATTGGTTGTGGAGACCTGTAAACAAAATGATATGGGTTGGATTTTAGGTTCTGCAGTTTTTTGGCAAACGAGGACGACCAATGCCATGCAGTGTACAATGAAGGCAAGTATGAAGACCAATTGGAAGATATCGTCAGGTATACACAGGGCAAATATTGCGCGAAAGGTACTCTTATCCTCCGGATGACAAGACGTAATATGCTTAAAGATCGCAATTTTTGACCACTCCCTAGCCCCCATTAATTGTCTATTCGCATGGATAGAACAAGTGGATATCAGGCCCTTTGAACCCCCTAGACTGGCTTACCGACAACGCTATACAACCAATCTGGATACTTACCAGTAATTTTGTCGATGGTGGCGACGATCTCTTCAGGGCTCAAAATGAGTTCTTTGACACTATCGAGAAGAGTGCGGAAAGATTCCACAGTGGAGTGTAACAAAGGTTTCAACTGTTCAACAGCTACGTCAACCAGATGGTGACCCTTGGTTTCAAAATCTTTCAATTCATTGACGAAAGAGCTGGAATCATAAGATGGACGTTGCCTTTGAAATACTCTATGTCAGGTCGAACTCTTGTGCAAGAATCAAGCTCATTGGCGTGTAGTGAGCTCTGGGGGAAATTTTGTATCGTGCTACACAAAGAAGACAAAGCAAAAATGAAAGAGTTTTTTTACGCCCTATGTTTCTGTAGGAGGCTATTCTTTTTCCAAACAACCCAAAGCCCGGTCAAGTCTATGCAGTGTGCAATGACGAAATCTTGTAGTGACGGCATTAGTATTCTCTTTCCTGACTGTGATCCTTAATCTGCAATTTTATTTCATATAATCACTTGGTCAAATTATTGGTAGAATGTGATAAGGGTTTAAACATAGCCAACTCTGACCACCGTTGCTGAATTAAGTTGTCTATCGTGAGAATTCCCTTCATTGGATCAAGGGTTTTGGTCGAAAACTCTGACCACCGTTGCTGAATCTATCGTGAGAGATCCGTCCATTGGATTTGGTCTAAAACTCCTACTGTTGTTTAATCAAACTCACCTTACATCTCTGGCACCTTTCTCTTGTTTGATGGAGTTCATTGTGTTCAAGGCTAAAGCTGAAATAAAGAAGTATGACAATGTACTACCTTCAAAGAGATTTTTGTTTTTCATTTGGAAAACGACCATTGCTTTGCCCCCCCCCCCCCCC